GGGGAGCGCCGGGCCGGCGAGCGGCCGCGGTCACGCGAGTCCGCCCGAGGCAAAGCCCATCGTGCTAGCGAGCGGGAACGGCGGTCGTCCCGTGCCGGGGACCGACGGGACTGGCGGGAGGGAACGGCAGGAGTTGCAGGAGTCTCGCGAGGGGGAGCGTCGGGCCGGGCGGGAGGAGAGCTGGTTCCTGAGGTCCTCCTCCCGCCGGAGGCCGTCAGGGGAGGAACGCGGCGGATCCCGGCGGTCGTCCGCGCGACGCTTGGGGCGGGCCTCATCGTCGCCCCAGTCCCGGGGCATGGCCGGCGAGGGAGAGGGAGGTGGGGAGGCGAGGTGGCCGAAGGAGTCAGCGAGAGGGGCGGCTGGGGGCGCGTTGGGGAGGGGCGCTGGAGGCGAGGGACGGGAGGAGCGGGGAAACCCTACCGGGGGCCAGATGAGGCGCCGAGCCGGGCTAGATGCCCCCTACGGGCGGAGCTAGGCCGAACCGGGCGACACCAGGCTAGGAGGCCGGCCCACGGAGCTGCCAGCGGCCCAGCGGCCGAATGCACGGGAGGCAACGAATTGGGCCACGGGGCGGCCCAGGACCAGCGCGGCCCGGTACGACCAGGCCGGGGCAACCATGCGGGGCACAAGGGTTTCCCCGAGCGCCGGCACAATGGCCACCGCTGGGGCAGGACAGGGGCGGCGCGGCCAGGCCGGGGCGGCGCGGCCAGCAGGGGACAGGGAGACGGCGGCGCCAAAAGAGGAGATGAACGGGCGAAACGGAGAACGCCTGTAGAGGATGGCCGAGAGCGCCAACGCGGTCGCCGGCGATGAGCTGGCCAGAGCGGAGGCGGGCGACGCCAGCGAGGCAGGCCTCCAGAACGCGAGCGCGGCGCCGCGGCCAGCACGGCCAGCGACACCCCAGTCGCCCGCACGTCGACGCCGGGGGAGGACCCGAGACCACAAGGAGGCACCTTTCGCCCCCAATGGCAGCGGCGCGTCCGACGGCCGCCGGCGGCGCCGATCGACCCTGCGGGTGGCCGAACTCCCACCCCTGGGACTAGGGCCACCGGTAGAATCGGACCAGGGCTTTGGGGGGGACGCGGTCCCGACAGGAGACGGGGCGCCCCGCGGTGACGTCATCAGCCTTGGCGAGGTCCGCCCAGGAGGTGTGTGGCGATCCAGCGGGGGAGGGTCGACGGCGGGGCGGGCAAGGGGGGCACCGACGGGCCGGCTGAGGGCTGTTCGGGAACGTAGCAGAAATTCAGAATTTTCTTACATGTCACCAAGATCTATCTATGGAGAAACCAGCAACGAGGGGAAGGAGAGTGCATCTACATACCCTTGTAGATCGCTAAGCGGAAGAGTTCAAGAGAACGGGGTTGAAGGAGTCGTACTCGTCGTGATCCAAATCACCGGAGATCCTAGTGTCGAACGGACGGCACCTCCGCGTTCAACACACGTACAGCCCGGTGATGTCTCCCATGCCTTGATCCAGCAAGGAGAGAGGGAGAGGTTGAGGAAGACTCCATCCAGCAGCAGCACAACGGCGTGGTGGTGATCGAGGAGCGTGGCAATCCTGCACGGCTTCGCCAAGCACCACGAGATATGAGGAGAAAGAAAGGTAGGGCTGCACCAACAGGAGAAGAACTTCGTGTGTTGGGCAGCTCCTATGCCTCCATTATATATAGGGGGAGAGGGGGCGGCGGCCAGCCCTAGATCCCATCTAGGGGGGCGGCCAAGGTGTGGAGAGGGGGAAACTTGCCCCCCAAGCAAGGTGGAGGCGCCCCCTCCCCAAACCCTAGGCGCCTTGGGCCCTTGTGGGGGGGCGCACCAGCCCACCTGGGGCTGGTCCCCTCCCACACTTGGCCCATGCAGCCCTCCGGGGATGGTGGCCCCACTTGGTGGACCCCCGGGACCCTCCCGGTGGTCCCGCTACGTTACTGATAAAACCCGAAACTTTTCTGGTGACCAAAACAGGACTTTCCATATATAAATCTTTACCTCCGGACCATTCCAGAACTCCTCATGACGTCCAGGTTCTCATCCGGGACTCTGAACAACATTCGGTAACCACATAAAAACTTCCTTTATAACCCTAGCGTCATCAAACCTTAAGTGTGTAGACCCTACGGGTTCGGTGCAGACATGACCGAGACGTTCTCCGGTCAATAACCAACAGCGGGATCTGGATACCCATGTTGGCTCCCACATGTTCCACGATGATCTCATCGGATGAACCACGATGTCAAGGACTCAATCGATCTCGTATACAATTCCCTTTGTCTAACGGTATTGTACTTGCCCGAGATTCGATCGTCGGTATACCGATACCTTGTTCAATCTCGTTACCGGCAAGTCTCTTTACTCGTTCCGTAACACATCATCCCGTGATCAACCCCTTGGTCACATTGTGCACATTATGATGATGTCCTACCGAGTGGGCCCAGAGATACCTCTCCGTTTACACGGAGTGACAAATCCCAGTCTCGATTCGTGCCAACCCAACAGACACTTTCAGAGATACCTGTAGTGCACCTTTATAGTCACCCAGTTACATTGTGACGTTTGGTACACCCAAAGCATTCCTACGGTATCCGGGAGTTGCACAATCTCATGGTCTAAGGAAAAGATACTTGACATTAGAAAAGCTTTAGCATACGAACTACACGATCTCTGTGCTAGGCTTAGGATTGGGTCTTGTCCATCACATCATTCTCCTAATGATGTGATCCCGTCATCAATGACATCCAATGTCCATGGTCAGGAAACCGTAACCATCTATTGATCAACGAGCTAGTCAACTAGAGGCTTACTAGGGACATGGTGTTGTCTATGTATCCACACATGTATCTGAGTTTCCTATCAATACAATTATAGCATGGATAATAAACAATTATCATGAACAAGGAAATATAATAATAACTAATTTATTATTGCCTCTAGGGCATATTTCCAACAAGGGCGAGGCAGGAGGCGGGGACTGGGGCGGCGGCGGAGCCGCCGGGTCGCCAGGGCGTCGCCAGAGCCAACGGTCGCAGCCATCCTCTCCTTCGAATCGGCCAATATTTTCTAAGTGCTTCTGGCTAAAACGTGAGGGAGCTATGGGTTTCCATGACCTTAGGCTATTTAATCAAGCTCCCCTGGCTAAACAAGCTCGGTGGTGATTGATATTTTTGAAGTCACTTTGTGCAGAACTAATGAAGGCTAAATATTACCCTCAAGGTCACCTTCTTGACACGGTTTTTCCACAATCAACTTCAACAACTTGGCAAGGTATTATGCATGGTCCGTGTCTCCTTAAAAAAGGGGTTATTTGGAGAGTTTTTTTTATGGCTCTGGTATAAATATTTGGAGACATAACCGGTTTCCTAGGATTTGTGGACAAAAAAAATTAGGAAAAATGAGAACCAGGATTAAATGGGTGTCAAAATTATTCATGGGAGGATCAAGCAGTTGGGATGTGAATTTTATCAATCACTTGTTTTACCCCATGATGCCGATGAGGTTCTAAAGGTGTGTATTCGGTCCTCTGGCGAGGGTGATTTGATTGCTTGGCACTATGAACCGAATGGATTGTTCTCCCGAAAAAGCGTGTATAATTTGACGCTTGTGCTCAACGAGAGGGAGGAGGAAGGGAGGCAGTCTAGTGGAGGTGCCTATGGGGAGAGGAAGCTATGGAATGTCATTTGGAGGGGCAATGTCCCTCAGAAGATCAGAATTTTTGCATGGCGTGCAGCGTCCAATAGCCTGGCGGTACAAATTAATAGAGTAAAACATCATCAAGCGACTACAGGCGGATGCTCTATTTGTGAATTGGAGGATGAAAGTACTTTTCAGGCTTTGGTGTCTTGTCCTAAGACGAGGCCTCTGCATATGAAGCTGAGGGGATTGTGAAATATGCCAAGGGAAGAGGTTTTCAAGTGCTCAAGTCACTGTCTACTCGTGGGATTATATTGGTTTGTGCATTAGCGTTGACGAAGCAAAGCTTCGAGCGTGTCTCATAGGACTGTATATTGGTAGCACTCTCCATAAGCGTGTTATTTTGGAAACGGACTCTGCTTTTGTGGTCTCCTTTCTTGCGCATGATAATTTTGATACGTTTTCTCTCATGAATTTGAAGATGGAAACGGTAGCCATCACCAAGCTTCTACCAAATTTTAAGCTAGCGAAGATTAATAGACAAGCCAATGTGATGGCTCACCAAATACCCAAGTATAATTTTAATAATAGGTCTGATGGTTTTCTTTGTAATAGTTTTTCTCCCTGCGTGCCGAATGCTGCAAGGAATGATTGTATTCAACTAAGCTTTAATATATGGGCTGATTCTCCAAAAAAAAAATCTAAGTGCTTAACAACTACCCGAGTTCTTCTGCTGTTACATACCAGAGCAGTTAGGGAGTGTTTGGAGCCACTCCGCTCCAGACTCAGCTCGCGGAGCTGGCGAAGCTGCAGGGCTAAAATAGCGGAGCTGGAAATTAGGTGCTCTGCAGATTCTGTAATTCCACGGAGCCGGTGGAAAGCCAAACAGGCCCTTAATAACCAACATGGCGAGAGGTATTACAAGCATACAAAGCGAAGCAAAAGACAGCAAAAAACAGAAACTGGAGCGCTATAAAACTGTACAGCTGCCCTGGGGCAATTGTGACACGTGCTCGCCCAATGAAAGCTGAGCAATCAGAGTCAAGGCAGAGGTGAAGGCCTTGATCTTACTGAAACCAGTTTTGACTCTGTAATAACCATACTTCAGCTCACATCACTCCGGCGTGCTGAATTTAAGTACCAACACAAACAAATTTAGCTTACACAGTTCGTCTTTGTAGAAAATGAATATGTTCATGGAACATAACTGCTTCTAGCAACAACAACAAAAAAAAAACAGATGGCTGTTTGGATAGGCATGTTGTCACTATTCGGTCCTGTTCTTGATAGCAAGATGCAAAGAGAGAAGTGCCTTCGGCGGTTTGCCCCAAAGACACATGTTGTTCAGCAAAGGTGCAGATAAAAACCTGACCTATTAACTATCCAGTGCCGTGTTCCTTTGCCATCTCTGCAAAAATCAGTCTGCCGCGTAGAACCTGAAAAAAAAAAGACCAAATCAATTAAGAAATCTGAGGTCCAAGCAGGCGGTGCTGCAAACACGCCAAATCAGGTAATATTAAATCCGATACCAGTTAGCATCATGCTCGAACATTGAAATTTGCACACAGTTGTCATTACAACAAATGGCTTTCACAGCTCAAATCCAAATAGTTTGGAGTGAGATGATGGTAATGCCAAGATAAAAGCATCACCTAATAGAAAAATGACAAGATCCCAGATGGCTGGCAATTTGGCAAATATAAAGACAAGAATCTGAACAGTAAACAGAGCAATTCCTGACTATTTTGATGCTATTTCCAAGAAAATGTGTTCCTCACAATTGCATCGAAAAGATAAACTAGCTAATTTGCAGCATTTCCTGATTTGGTAATGCACAAAAGGCCTAAAAAATGCATTTAGTAGCAAATGGTAGAAACCAGTCTACGACACGACTTAAAACACCTTTGATTATGACTTTCGTGGTCTGTCCACATAGTAAGTTTGCAAACTCATGTTGCGGTTATACATGGGGCATAACTGCTACAACTAAGGCTCAAGAGATGACCACTTTCTCTCTTTGGAGAATTCTCCAGATAAATGCCTTGTCTAATGCAGTTCTTAGTTTAAGTGCCTATGAATAGAAAGCGGTAAAATGTAGTGACAAAACAGCTGAGGGAAATTGCGCCACTTAATATGTGAAATAGTAGATGAAAAGACAAAATAACCATGAATCACAAAACAAGTTAGTTTAACCAAATCTACCAGAAAGGGCGTTCTCACTAGTCAAGAGAGAAAAACTAACGCATGCTTCATGTGAATAAACTAGAAAATGCTTTAGATAAGAGCCAACTCTGTTACAACAAGAATCTTTATTAACCTTAAATTATGTTGAAAACATTGTTAACAAGAGTAAACACAGAAACATGGCTTCTACCAGTCGACCTCACTGGTGGACCAACGTGGCCCAAATGCTCTATGTACACTTCTTGTCATCACTGGAAGATGGTAAAGGAAGGCTGACATAAGACCACTGTACATATTTAGTGAATTTAGAACTAATGTAGGTACCTCTTAACACATTGCAGGTCTAATTATTTTGTTACAGAAGTCAATACCCTTAAGCAGTATTCAGAAGAATGACCCTATGGTTTTCTTGAGTACACTAGCATTGTCAGTTTTGGCGACAAATGACTAAACATGAGAGATTAGGTTGGTTTTTTTTTATGAATGACCTCAAAGGTCCTGGTTATGTGATAAAAGCAATGTCACCAAGAGTTGCATGTTACTCTATTAACAAGGTGTCTTAAAAGGTAGTTTCAGTTGAGAAAGGAAGGAGTATCGGCGGCAAAGAGTTATAGCTCCATTTTTTCCTCCAGTGGAACTTCAGCACAGTTTCCTCTAGGGTAAATGACAATCATGAATTCTCAGTTTATAAAATTATCAATATGTCAGCACCAGCAACTGATGTTTGAAGGTTACACCCAAGATAGTAGGTGAGCAGTGTGCATACCCTTCCATCCATTGCCTTGATAGCTTTCTGTGCCTCCTCTTGTGATGAATATCTTACAAAACCAAATCCCTTCGGCCTTCCAGTTTGGTTGTCTCTCACTAACCGAACTATATTTGATAGAAACAGATAGCAGCATTAAACCAAAATATTTCCATGCAACTAACATAATAAGAACTTCAAGTATCAGTAGGAAACAATGACAAAGATTTACAATTCCATGTGGCGAACAGCGTCACACAAGTTCAAAAATGGCATAGATACCTTCCTCAATGGTGCCAAATGGCGAGAAGACCTTTTTAAATTCTTCCTCCGTTGTGTAAAATGATAGCCCTGACAAAAGAATCTAGAAGGATGAATAAATGTTACATGTTATATCTGCATTTACAGATTTAAAAGGCAGCATGAGTTAAATTTTTGGTGCAAAATTCCCTGTGAGCAGAATATGTAGAGATTCATTTCATAATGGTACTCCCTCTGAATCAAAATATATAATGTTTTTTGACACTGTTATAGTGTTAAAAAACGTCTTATATTTTAATAGAGGAAGTAGAACATATATGGTGATCTTACAAATTAAAATGAAGAGGCAAACTGCAACACTATCACTATCTTTGTTGTGCGCGTACTTCAGGTCCATGTCAACAATGTGCACCCCTCAACCAGAACAATTTGCAGCAAGACAAACTAGAGATGAAAACAAATTGTTGATCGCAGACATTTCATCCAAGATGATAAAGTGCCGCCCAAGTAGAATAGATACTAAATTTCAGGTGGTAAAACGGCAACCAGTCTACTTTTGGCAGAAGCAACTTTCGGCTACAAATTGTACTGGCCATAGAGCAACAATTAGTTTTCATCGACACACATAATCAGTCAGCATGTGTGGAACTTCATCAGCACTAGAACAATGAAAAGATGACGTCAGGCAAACCCATCCAGCCCGTGATAAAGTTCTCAAAAGATGGTATGAAGCATCCGTGGTGTTGCTATGTAACTGTCCAAAGGAATCATATTCTAAAGCTCCTAAATCAGTAGCAGGCTCGAAATATTCCCTGGCATGCTAAAGCTGATGTTCATGTTCATAATGAAAAAGAAAGCAAAGGAGACCGGCATCACACCAACCAGTGCTCAATCCATCCACACCCAAACAACTTCAGTCACAGGCGAACAACACTCTCGAGCATGAACCAGAAGTTGCAGATAATAATCGTCACCATAATCACACAACACCAATTCATCGCATACAAGTGCCAAGCATTTATGCAAGCACGGGAATGGGGAGAAAACAGAGGTTGATTGCTTACTGCTCACAAATATCTCAGTGCTGAAGCCATGGGACCCCAGGTGCCGAGAGGCCAAACGAATCACCCTCCTCCCTCCTCGCAACATCATCGGCAGCAGCGGCAGTGGCGGCGGCGGCAGCTCGAGCACTCACTCCCTCAAACCCTAGATCCCCAATTATTTGACAGAATGAGGCAACAGCTCGCAGATTGAAAAGGCACATACAAACTCCTCCATTAGTACTTGAAATCAAAGCCGTCCATTACAACCTGGCACGATTTACAAAGCAGACGAGCTACCTACCTATAACGACACACATGGACACAAGCGACGGCAACACAAAAGCTAGTAGAAGAGAACACGGCGACGGAACCCTAGAGATACACCGCGACGGAACCCTAGTTGCTGGTGAACTTGGTGACGGCCTTGGTGCCCTCGGAGACGGCGTGCTTGGCGAGCTCGCCGGGGAGGACGAGGCGGACGGAGGTCTGGATCTCCCTGGACGTGATGGTGGGCTTCTTGTTGTACCTGGCCAGCTTGGCCGCCTCGCCGGCGAGCTTCTCGAAGATGTCGTTGATGAAGGAGTTCATGATGGACATGGCCTTGGAGGAGATGCCGATGTCCGGGTGCACCTGCTTGAGCACCTTGAAGATGTAGATTTTGTAGGTCTCCACGCTCTTCTTGTTCTTCTTCCGGCCCTTCTTGTCGCCGCCCTCCTTGGCGGACTTGGACGCCGGCAGACGCTTCTCCGCCTTGGGCTTCTTGCCGGCGAGGGTCTTCTCGGCCTTCTCCGCGACCTCGGCGGCCGGCTTCTTCTCCGCGGGCTTCTTCTCGGCCTTGGGCGCCATCGATCGGGATTGAGCTTGAGGTGTCGGGCTGCTGTGGAGGGAAATGGGCGAGTTGTTGCGAGGGAGACTTTTCTTTGGTGTGTTGTGGTGGAGCAGGGGAGGGGATTAATATAGAGGCGTGCGGTGGAAGGGGATTGGTGGAGAGGGGCGGGGCGCGGATCCGTGAGGTGGCACTTGTGTGGGGCGTCGGATTTGGGGAGCGGGGAGTGCACGGTGGAGATGAAGATGGACGTGCCTCGGTTTTCCACGGGCTCCTATGGGTGACAAAATTGATGGCGCCCCCGCGCGTGGTATTTTTGCTTTCTTTCTATTTTTTGTAAACACACTCCTAGCCTTTCTACTAAAAAGCTTTATAATTCTTCGGAAAAAATGATCGAAGAATTAAGGCGAATGCTAGACACCGGCGGACCGGGCGAAATTGGGCCGTTCAGCATGCTAGCGTTGGATAAAATCACATGTAACCGTCAGATCTAGAGAAAAGAAAAGGAAAATCCCAATCGTCTTTGCGTAAAAATCTGATAAGAAAACTCGGGAGACATGGGCAGCCCTCCTCCTCCGTGTCGCACAACACCCATCCGTCTTTCGCTGTCGACCATCGTCGTCGACGTTCACCCCTCGC